AAAAAAGATTAAGGCTAAACGGCACATTTCGTTGGTCTGAAAGCCAAACGAAAGACCTTTTGATAAATATAGCGGACGCAATAAAAGAGAATCCGGACAATTTTGAGGTAATATTGATACATTTTTTGTCATTTCATTATTTTACATTTTAGGATCTGCTTTTAGAAACCAACTGCTCAAAGGTTTTACAACAAAATTGGCGAAAAAGCTCCAAATTTAATGAATATTAAATGGGACATAATGAGGACTAAAATGCGGCATTTGAAAATGACATTTTTATCTACGCTCAAGTGGAAAGGCCAGACTGGTGCAGGCTTACTTGAAAGTGGTGATCCTCATAGTGTGGAAGAATACATAAAAGAAATATGTCCTTTTTATGAAGACCTTCTCGTGATATTTGGACGTCGCATAAGTGTTCAGCCGCCAGTGATTTATCAATCAACAGAGTTGGTGTCACCGTTGGACGATACATATATAGAATATATTACCCCAGAGATAGACCACGACACAAGTTCTTCGAGTCCGTTACCCAGTTCGTCCGTTATTATGTATCCACCTGCAGATGAAGTAGTTAGTCCGTCCGCTAATTTTGCATGCACATCTACACCAAGAAGAAATATGAAAAGATCTCATAGTAGTTCAAATCCATTTTCATTACTTTTCGAAATCCAAAATAAGAAGTTGGAACTAGAAACGAAAAAATTGGAATTTGAAAAAGAGGAAAACAATTTTCAATTGCAGAAATTACGGTTGGAGAAAGAAATGGAAGTAGAAATGGAAAAAGTTAGATTGGAACACGAACGATTGAAAAGCTTAAATAGCTCATAATTTGCCAAAATGTAATCATCTGTATTCCAATATAAGATTTTTCCATTTTGCCTTTTTCTTTTTAATACATTTGTTGGTTTGTTTTACTTATAGTGACTTAGTGAATATGGTCCACCTTGCTTTTTTTACTTTATCCGTATTAAGTTATTTCTAGTCAAATAATTTATGTTACGTGTTTATATAAAGAAATTGAATTTTATTTGAAAAAATAAATAAGAAAATAATTTTTAAATTAAGATATTTATTGATTAAACAATTGTTCAAAGATTTTACGTCGCCTTATCTCCCCTTCATTGGTACGAGCATTTGGTTCCCATAACGACTCGTAAATACTGTGCTCAGATTCCTCAGGTTGGTAATCGAAATAATCGTCGTGTTGGAGTATAATATAAGTTGTGTAACAATGCACAACAGAGAATCCATTTGTTAACTTTTCTCATACCATTTTCATTTTTAATTTGTAGCCTTAAGCCTTTTAAACTACCAAATCTTTCCTTCAGCATTCCAAAACAATGTTCAATTCGAATTCTATATCGACTGAATGTTTTGTTAAAAAAATTGCTTTGGCTTAGTGTTCAATTTCTAGAATTTTCTCTAAATGGCATTATAACAGTACTCGATAACATTGTCAAGTGTTGATACGTCAAACAAAAAAATGMTTGATGAAGAGCGCCTTGCCGGAACATAAGGAGGCATATTCGTAAGGTTATGATCCACAAAAGAAAGCGTACTCTAAATTTTTCGTTTTTCTTCGGAACCACACTCAAAAGTTTGGTTTAAATGCCAAAATATTTCTTTTTTAATTTTTTTAAATGCTGTAATGTGCATATAGAGCATAGAACTTGAATTTATTCCAATAAATAAGCTTTTAATTGTTAGTACAAATTTTTTTATTCATTGTTTCCATAACTTAACAATTCATAGATGGTTCGGCGTACCGCTTCCCCTTCATTAGTTCGAGCAGTAGGTAATGACTCTAAAACATCGTGCTCAGATTCCTCAAGCTCGTAATCGAAACGATCGTCAAGTCGGAGTATAACATTGTGCAACAACGCGCAGCAGATAATCCATTTATTTACTCTACTCATGCCTTTTTCATCCTTGATTTGAAGTCTCAACGTTTTCAAGCTGCCAAATCTTTCCTTCAACATGCCAAAACAATGTTCAATTCTAATCCTATAACGACTGAATATTTTGTTAAAGAAAGCTCGCTGACCCTGTGTTAGTTCTCTAGAGTTTTCTTTAAATGGTGTTATAATAGTTCGTGACAATTTATAGGCACTGTCACCTGCGATCCATTCAGCTCCTGCAAAAAACACATCTGCGTCATTCGACAATTCGCAGTTACTTAAAATACGTGCATCATGTACGCTACCTGGATAGCCTAACACTAAATGTCTTATTTGAAGCGAATGGTCACAAACGACTTGAACTTTAACTGAGTATTGGTGCTTTCGTGAAAAGTAAGCTTCTAAAGGAAGCTTCAAAGGAATTTCCGTACCATCGACGTATCCCACGCCGTTTGGCAATTCACCCCAGGTTTCTGACACGAGCTTTTTACGTCCATCGCTATTTGGCCAAAACAGATACTGATCTTTATGCTTTAACAGTGCTTTAAAAATTCTGTCAGTCAAATTCTAATATAAAGAAAAAGATAAACATTAAT